CAGAAATAAAAACTTTAATAATTTTCACTTTAAGGCATTATATTCATAAAAAATTCAAAATCAAGGAGTTGAAGAAATTTATCGATGACGTACGTACGTGCAGGACACGGTAGCTCAATGGGTTAGAGCAACAGCATTGAACGTTGTGGATGCCGGTTCAAGAATTGCTCGTGTCGTCTTATGAGTTTAATATAAATACATGGTTAATTTTAAACAGACATGTCCCAACATTAGATGGCAAATTTTATCGACAATTCGGAACATCCCTACTTTCAAAGCCAGCCAAAGCTCAGCTAGGCAAAACCGAATTTCCGAAACGTCTAATAAGTTGGATGTTAACTCTGTCAGCATCACGTTATATACGTGACGTAACCAGTATCACGTGATATCTCTTTTAAACTATTGCCAACGAGGTTGAGGGTCTAGTTATATTGGGGTATTGATATCTTTTGTTAGTTCTAAAATAAATAAATTTATGGACTGTAGAAAAACGGCTAGTAATGAGGAGTTATTTAAAGTTAAATCGGAGTTCGATTATTTTTGTATCAGTTATAGTAACTTGTATATATAAGAATGTAATCAATAAGTCTGTAAAAATTCGACGAAATGAGGTGTAGGACTTCGGTAGACTCAATTGGTAGCAAACAGTACGGAAAGCTGACGGAATGCCGGTTACATGTACTGCCCGAGTCGAAAATTTTTTCAATTTATTAACAAAAAAAACAAATACTGTCTGTAGTTTCCGATTTTTAAAATTTAAATAAATCAGTTTAACAGTTTAAAACGTGAAATACATTTGTTAGCTTATTTGAACATTATTTATAAACCGCAGCAACACCAGCCGTGGTCACGAGGAGACTGCAAAGCATCCGAAACTTCGGGACTTAGTTAAAACAATTTTTGAAAGAAAATAAACTACTAATTAGGTACTAAACTTTAAAGTATTAGGTCAACTTATTTTAAAATTATGTTTAACTACGGCCGAGTTTCGGACTTTGACAGTATTGAAATACATTTATTTCACATGTGTACACCGTCACAGACTGTATAGTGGTTTATTTAAAAATAATAAATTTTTAAATAAAACACTTTAATGGTTTAAAACGGGATATACTAGTTAAACTTATTTGAAAATGATTTTTAACTTCGGCCCGACGTTTCGGACGTTCTCCCCGTGACCACGGCCGCCGCAAAGCATCCGACACGTCGAGCCGAAGTATAAATCATTTTCAAATAAGTTTAACTAATATATCGCGTTTTAAACCGTTAAAGTGTTTTATTTAAATGTGTACTACTTGCGTAAACTATAGAGAGTATTTAATAAAGAAATAATCTTAAAAAGTTCAAAACAACAAAAGTGGTTCTATAAAACTGAGTAGCGAACGAAAAACAGAAACACACGAAAGAATTCAACAAGTGTTCGCGCCTTGAAGGAAATATTAAGAATCGCAAACGATAATGAATACGAAATCGGCTCCCCCACAGATTAATGGACTAATTAGGGGGTGAGTGAAAAAGTCCCTCAACTTGGGGTAGGTCGCGGACAATTTTTACGTCACTTGAGAGCTTTTGTGCTAACTTTGCGTTGTTTTTGCGTGAACCGCTCGAGATAATTCACGGAAGTGTATGAGAGTAGACAACATTATTTAACAAAGAAACTATAGCAATAAAATAACCCCGTATCTTCTATTTGGGGTGTTGGAAAGACATATATCTGTGTCCGATTCACTCAGTGATATGTTTCAAGTGAGCCCTGTGTTCACTTAACATGTATTGTCGACCAATTTTGGCTTTGGAATTCGGAAATCCAAGACTGAAACATATGCGATTAAACTGGACTATTTCATCTGTGGACGGTGGAAAAGCTAACTTTAATTGAACAATATATAGCTAAATATATTCTAGATTTTTTAATACTATATTATATATACTATAGTCCTATTTATCTCTGTGGGGCATGGGGCGAACACATGTACGTTACGCTGATCAATTTAATCTGTGAGCAAGAACAGAATGCTGTGTCATGGCTAGACGACTTTTTTTTAATTTCTCCGAGATTCGAACGTAAGACCTCTCATGATTAACGCAATGCTACGTTTATTTAACCACTTGTGTTGTATTTAACCACACAAAAAATTGTATGGAAATTCGTAGTTTTTGAAGCTAGAACAATGAAACTTTGTTTTTTGATTTTTTTTTGGGAATAGGAATGAGAGTGGGAGTTGAGTAGGAGTGAGGTGAGAGTGTTGCGGCAGAGTAGCAGTTACAACATAGATTGGCTGCCTTAAATGCGCTCTTACATAAATTAAGAAACAGCCATATATTGTTAAATAATTAAAAATTCTACTCCAAGTCACTATTCCACGCAGACGAACTCGCGGGCACAGCTAGTATAATATAAATATTACAGGATAATTACAAACATCTGATCGTGGCGCCGAAACCGCGCGAACGCTTCAATGATAATGAATATTTTATTTTATCCACCCCGCCCCGCGCCACCCGCTGTCTGTGAACTTGACACCGAGCGAAAAATTAGTTCACAAGGAGAAAGTGAATTTTGTACAGAGTTTGCACTTTTTGAACCGCGCTGAACCGAGATAAAAGAAGTTGCAGAGTTAGTGAACCAGTTAAAAGTTCGCGGACGATGTATAGCGGTGGTATGGCGAGTGGCGTGTTTGAAGCGTTTCGGATGTGTTATTAAATAATAAAGATAATTTATTCGTCAGATTCATCGATCCATTTCTTAAATCTATTTACAATTACATAGACCTAAAATCTCTAAGTGACAAGAGTAAATAGATATACCACTGTAATGGCTTTGTATTTAAAAATAAATATTGACGAAACCAATGTCTGCTTATAACTATTTATATATAAAAATATGTCTGTCTGGTCCATTCTTTTAAAGATATAAGTGTGGAATTATACCTATAGTATTCTTCCTTCTCTTAGTTCCAAGTAACTTCTGTATATGATGGGGACTTAAAAAAAAAAAAAACTTTAAAGAAGAAGAAGAAGAAAGAAATGTATTGACTACTAAGGTACACAAAAACATATGTTACACTTATTACTAAGACTTGAAAAAACAAAACATAATTTAATCTTAACTTAATAATAACAGCATAATATAATGTTGTTCTGCTAGTAGAATAGTATCTTGTTCGCTGTTGACCTGAGACTGATTTTCAACAAGTCCTTAGAGTGCGTAAACGATTTATAACGCGAAATATATTACTTACCTTATTTTAATTTAATCTAATTAATATGTCTTGCATTATAAACAGTTAAATGTGATTTATTATCAATAATGACGTTTAACATTAACCAGACGTCCATAGTTTTTTGTATTTATTACCAGTTTTAGATTCTAAAGCAGAACAAGTTGTATAAAAGGAAATAAATAGACGTAACCAAACCGTATTTATTTCTCTTAATAATTGCACTATACATTGAAATGAGAAAAGCAAACAGCACATTATATTCTCACAATATTAGTTAATTCGCTGCTAATTAAAACCTGTGGAAACTTCTCGCGGGGTAAACCCCAACAGTTGAAAAACACTCGTGAATTAACATACTTTGCTCAAAGCGACCAAACTAACCGCGCACGAGAGAAAAATCTAACATATTTCACGCATTCACTCACTGTATGGGGCTAATTAAAAAAGCCCTGTGCCTTTGCGAGGGCTGTAGTACCGCTACTCACCGCTAGGCCGCGCTCTCCGCTTTGACATTTAGGGGGGGGCGACTTTTTAATGAAGTCTTATTCTACTTGGTACTGTGTTGGCGGCGATCTTTGTAGCACAAGCGGGGTTAGGCGCAAAGGGTTCGGCTGTGTGTGTGTAAAGCGGCTTTCGTGCGTATTAATGACGTATGATAAAAACTTTCTTAAAAAGGCCTTCTTAAAAACTCTATTTATTAAGCTAATTAGAATTGACGCTCGGTGGCCGCTTACAATTTCTGTAAGCTACTATAATAAAGTTCTCGAGTGAGTTTTGAATTAAAATAAATGTGTAACTTTATTCATAAGTTAAGATTTGTTAAAATATATACTACGTTACTTTATAATATTTTTTAGCAAAATTTACAGTTGCGTGCTGCAAGTATAGTGGATTAAACAAAAATAATATGCAAACATGACTTTATTAGTTCTGCGTAAATTAAAAATCGATTTTAGATGGAAAAAAATTACGACAAGAAGGGGACTGGAACCGGCATTCACAGCGTTTCGTGTTGTTGCCCTAATCGATTGAGGTCTTACACGTCATTGTCGAATTTTTTCAACCTATTAATAAATACTACGCGCAATGTAATGCGCTCATAGTTCTAATCTAATTAAAAACGGTTCTAACAAGATTTGTTCTCACCATTTTTCGTCACAAATAACCGTGAATTATTTTCAAGGAAAATATTAAATTTAAAAATTTTAAATAAGCAATATTTAGATGGCTTTTAAATTTGCCATTCAAATATAATAGCTTATAGTGACATCTAGCAGTGAGTGGCAAGTTTTAAATGGTTTCACGAGATGTCGTTAGTGTGCTTATGTCAGAGTAAATATCGAAATGCTCTCATTTGAGAAGATATATTTTTTTTAATTCTGTTTAATCATAACAATTGTGATATTATAGAGTTTTAAAAACATTTTAAACGGTTAAAATCGAGACATATATAAGGTAATAAATTGTCTACTTAATTCTATTTTTAAGCACAGAAACATCGGGTAGTAGTCAAAAATAATTTAACTAATATATTTATTGTTTTGAACCGATAAATTGTTTTTATTTAAATGTGCGCTATTCACGTAAGCAATAGACAATACTCGATAGAGTTTTTATTGAAAACTGACATGGAAGAAAACATTAATGCGAATTCTAAAAACAAAAATGATTGAAATACTCTGTCAATTGTAGCAATTTCAAGGCAAAGGTAGAGTTCGGTCAAACCATGACAAAATTAACGCGTGTATTTGATTATTAGGAAACAAATCTTGTGACATGGTGCGTTGGAGGACTTGCTTTCTCTTGGCGATGCTCTTACTGCTGCCCGCGAGGATTAGCACCAGGTCTGATGAAGAGGAAGAGGAAGAGTAAGTAAAAAAATTTACACAATGTTAATGCATGTAGTGTTGTAGAAGAGAAAGGTTCTTTACTCGTTAAATTGTTCAAATATCTTGCGGTAACGATAGAAAAAGTTATTTCCATCGACACATACATGCAAAATTACAACAAACTTCAAAATTTTAATATTTTGCTCATGACGGCACTATGTACATAAAACATTTAAAAAATACGGCAGAGGTGCATCAATAGGTAGAGAGAATTCGACGATGGCGTTTAGGACTCGGTAGCTTAATTGGTTAGGTAGTGTAAGCCAATTGTACAAACAATTTTAAGTGACATTACAATTGCCTGTAAATAGAATGGATATAAGAAACTTTCTGTCACTTGCAGTATTTTAACATCTATGGTATATTTAAATAAAACACTTTAAAGATTCAAAATAAAGTAAACATTTGAAAATGACTTCTCCTCATGTCTCCCCGTAACCACGGCTACTGCAAAGCATCCGAAACGTCGGGCCGAAGTTTCATTTTCAAATAAGTTTAACTCGCGTAAACTATAGACAGTATTAATCTATGGTATATTGCAGACGGAGCGAAGACGACGAAGAAGATGACAATGACGATGACGACGACGACGACGTAGAAACACCTGAGAAGGAGGGCCGGAGGGCGCCGCAAGTGATGATGCAGACTAGTGCCAGAACCGCAGGGGTCACCAGAACAACTAAGCGGCGTCCACTGGAGTGCTACGTGTGTGCTTACAAACCGGAGACACCCTTAAGAGCTTGCCTGGATCCAACGAAATACAGGTATTGTATGGGTTGTCTAATAGTAATATACAGCTTATATCTATATATCAATGGGCTGTGGGTTCGAGTCCCACCAGGTCCAATATTTGTCCAAATTTACTTTTCGGAAATCCACAAACTGAAACCGCAACGAAATTAAACTCTTGCTTTTTTTTCTGTGGACGGTGGTTCGTGACCCGGACGGAATTTCGATAAAGGTATACCTTCCGCCCATATAATATCCAGACAAAGTTTACGCGAGTAGTACACATTGAAAAAAACACTTCAACGGTTTAAAACGCGATATATTACTTAAACTTATTTGAAAATGATTTTTAAATTCGGCTCTACGTTTCGGATGCAGCAGCCGTGACCGCGGCTGAAAAAATCCCCGAAGTTAAAAATCGTGTTTAAATGAGTTCAACTAATATATCGGGTTTTGAACCGTTAGTGTTTTATTAATCCAGACAAAGCAAAAAACATAAAATGTTTAGAAAAATGTTGGACCCGGTAGGGTTCTATTCCCAGAACCGTACATTGATCGATTTCATTACACCAATATTGTCAATAGCACTACTGGAACCAAGCGCCGATGACATTTTCAAAATTACATATATAGATTATACATTCATTTGTACAAGAGGATGTTAAGAAAATAGTTAATAAATACTTGGGTTAATTACTCTCACCTACTTCTAGAGTACACACGATGACATGTCATAGCGTGGACGACAAATGTGTCACCTCAGTCACGTCTAAAGGGAGTACGTATGAGGCGGTGACGCGAGGCTGTCGGTCAGGATGCCTCGGATCACCAGATACGACCTGCTGCGAGGTAATTGTTTGGCCTTCACTTCACCAAATTTTCAAATTAGCTCCTTATTTAGGCTTTTTAGGGGTTAATCTTTGTTAGACCTTTCCACGTGAACACGTAAATTATTTTATAATATTGGATAATATCTATTAAGCTTTTGGCTTGCTCTTTGGTTTAATAGTATTATTAAATGGCTATCAATGGGTGGGTCGTGGGTTCGAGGCCCACTGGGTTCAACATCGCTTCTAATTAGTTTATTATTTATCCGAAATATGTTGGATATCGAAATTCCGTCCGGATCACGAACCACCGTCTGTCAGATGAAGGCGTGAAGTTTAATAACATTTCGGTTTTAGTTTGTCGGCTTTCCGAATATCCAAAGCCAAATAAGTCCTTTTCACATTTTCCTATGAGATGTTATATGACTGGGATAATATACTTTCAAGTAAACTTGCTTGTCTAACGTTCTACGCCCTTGATTTGAGAATTAGTAAATTAAATTAATTTTTTATTTTTGTACGTTTATAAGTGTACATATTACTAAATAATAAATAATTTTTAAATTTACTAAAATCCTTGAACTCAAGACAACAGTGTTTCGTATCCTTTCTGAAAAGAGCTTGTTAGAGCTTTTTCTTTTGCAGTTGAACCGTTGCAATAACCAAGCCTTCGCCATGCCCACGCTTATAGCGCCGCGTGCGCTGGCCCAAGAGAGCAAATCGACCAAAGCTTTGCCAACGTCAGTGCTATTCTTCGTCACGATACTTCTGTTACTACAGACAGTAGTTAAAGTCACAATCGTATGATAAATCGATTTTAAACCCCCCCCCCCCCGGCCCCTCAACCCCATTAATATCTAATATCAAAGACATTTGAGTCCACGTCCTGAAATGATAATTTAGTATTGTTGACAATTTCGATTTAAAATGTGTAAGTTGAAAAGTAATGTTACGTTATGTATGATTTTGTTGAATATATTTCGTAGTGTGTTGTGCGTTGTTTTATTGTGTGTACATAACATTTTAATTTAATTAACTGAAAAATGGTCACAGTATGCGAAATATTTATTAAATTATAGAATAGTAATTTTTATTCTCTTGTGAGATTTAAGTGTTCTTTTGCTCAGGATTTAATCTTTTTATAAAAAGCCAACATAGGTAGACCTTTGATTAGATGTTATATGGCCGAAGTACTTCACCAATACAAGGACAGTGCAAGGAGATCCTCCACTATAAAAAAAAAGAAATACTTAAGTTCGCCAAATATGCACAAAAGCCCCTTTCGCGGTATCAAAGAAACTTGACAAGATACATCGAATCCCTCATAAAAGCTCAGCAAAGGGACAAGAGGGGTCAACTTGAAGTCGCGGTCAAGCCTCTCCGCCCAATTGGGTCTACTTCCGGTGGGGACGTGAATTATTCAAATGCCCTTTACCTGGCACCTGTTTCCTTCGCATGGGTTATGTTAACTCTTGCGCTGAATTTTTAAGATACATCGATGTTTAAAAATCTTAATACTTTACATGTTATTTGCACACGGTTATATAAATTAAAAATCTCTTTAGATTAACAACACGAGCGGGTCTTGAGCCGGCATCCACTATGTTTCGTTATTGGAGTAAGATTGAAAAACATGATATTGTGTTCTTACGCGATAGTGGATCCGCACTCAATCTAATAAGAAAAGTTAAAAAACCATTGATAATAACATGTATTAATATTGCGTATGCCGGTATGTTGCTTATTGCAATAAAACACGAACGTTACAAACGATTTTTCGCGTTTTTAAACCATTTAAAGTGTTTTATTAGCTTAAACTGCAGATACAACATTTAATAATAGTTAAGTAAGTTGTATTTCATATTGCATAGCGTTTCTTGGAAAAATCAAATATATCCCAATGATTCCCCTTTATCCACTCTTGGGAAATGGGATTTTAAAGAAATGTTTAACCCCAAGCCGAAGGGCTTGACTGACCGCGATATTCACTCATAGGAAATTCCAATAAACAACATTTTCCGCCCTCAAACATATCGTAGGGTGTCCAGTCGAGAAGCCAGTTGTCCCAAACACATGGACTCGATTGTAAGGGGCATAAACAAACTCGTACGTTCCCAAATTAAACCGTAGTACACAAAGAATAAAGTACGTTTTACCTTGGCAAGTTTTCGTGGAAAATTTTGAAGGCGAGATAATGCAGTATATCCGGTCCGGAGCTTGTTGGTGACTTTATTGGTCACGAGGGTTTGAATTATTGGCGGTATTAATATTTGCCTTCTCAGTAATTTTTAAAATATTATATAAAATGATGTTATATCTTTCTATACCCGCGACTAATTATTTAGGGTATTAAATTTTTTTCTTGCAAACCACCTCCTCGTCAGTCAACAACTTCGTACGCGTAGAATAGTTATTTTGAGTATAAATTTTTGTTTTTGCAAACCTCCTGTCCAAGGTTATATGTAATGTTACACACGACATCGTCCGAGTCCCGTCTTTCTTGCAAGTTAATCTTACATTATAGACTTGTACTGTCGCGGATTTTTATAGATCATTTAACGAAGAATCATTCTTTAGCGTATGGTTTTTCGGTTTCTTGAACCGTTTTCGCAGCGCACGCAGTGGAATCCCACAAGGTTGAATAATTCTCCCCGTTATCTCCACATTTGTTTTTGTTCCAAATCTATTCAAAGTTTTTACGATTAGTGTGTTCGAACAAACAAACTCTTCAGCTTTATTATTAGTATGTTTAGCAATTTAATTCCAACTATAGGATTTTATCTCTTAATCAAGTGGTCTTAGGTAGCCTAAGCTTTATAGGGCGAGAGGTAATTTAGGCGAAGTGGCTCTTTGGTTCTCCTAATTTCGTCAAGATTGGAGAGGTCAAAGACACTTGAAATATGTTTAACCTGTATTGGATAAGTACTTAATGTCTTGCAACGCCAAAGGCTAATCAAATCCACCATCTTTTAAATAAAACAGTTTAAACGGTTTAAATTTATTTCATTTCAATTTTATAATCCCTCTCAATGTGCGAAACTTGAGAGATAGTGTATAAACTGTCTATAGTTTATGATTTAAAACGCGATGTATATTAGTTAAACTTATTTGAAAATTATTTTAAGTTAGCCCGATGTTTCGAATGCTTTGCAGCGGCCGTGGTCACGGGGAGACCTATTAAAAAAGAAAAAACATATATATAAAATCCAAATAAGTTTGACTAATATATATCGCGTTTTAAACCGTTTATGTGTTTCATTGAAATGTATACTAAACACTGTCTATAGTTTACGCGAGTAGTACACATTTAAATAAAACACTTTAACGGTTTAAAACGCGATATATTAGTTAAACTTATTTGGAAATGATTTTTAACTTCGGCCCGACGTTTCGGATGCTTTGCAGCAGCCGTGGTCACGGGGAGACTCTCTCCCTATTACAATATACCTAATACGTTGGTTCTACTGGTGTGGCTAACAATTAGAAAGTCGCGAGTTCGATCCCCACCACCTCAAACGTGTTACAATACAAATTATAATTTTTCTGTAGTATGTCAGACTTCGGCTGAAAGTCTAGATATTAAATGGATGGTTAAAATATCGAAGTCGTAAAGTTCAAGGGCGACTCAGTTTCAGCCTGTGGATTTCCGAATATCCAAAGCCAAAATAGGTCGACATCTTGTTGAGATGGCATTTTCACCCACCATCAAGTAAATATCATAAAAAATACTACAGACAATTACAGTTTTAAGTAGAAATTGTTAATATACAGCACGTGTTGGTATTTTTTTGGACAAAGCACACGATATCAAACCGAATTGTTCCGCACCTGGACGGTTTGCACAAAGACGCTATGATGGATCATGTCATTCACCACGCTCCATCGGTCAGAGATTTGCACAAACTCGACGTAGGGATGTGCTTTTATCGATAGAATTTATCGATCATACCATTATCGATTATGCTTACGGCCAGGGGCAATTGAAAGGGATAAAAATAAACTCTACAATATTACATTCCTTTCATATTGAAACAATTAGGTATATATAATAAAACTAAAGCTTAGTCAAAAAACTCTTATAGTTTAATATGGTAAAATATTTAGTTAAACGTATTCAAACAATAGTTTAACGATGGCCCAACGTTTCGGATCCTTAGCAGCAGCCGTGGTCACAGAGAAAACACGAGTTTTAAACCGTTAAAGTGTTCGATGTAAATGTGTACTACTTCCGTTTATTTTATTATACTTTGCGTTTCAAATCATTAAAATGCTTTATTTAAATATAGATAAATTTATCGATTACTAATCTGTCGACGCATCTGGACATCCCTAATAAAACTGACAAGTCTAATGCGTATTATTGACCAAATGATCAATGATCTATGGGTATTTGGATCAATAAAATTATGCAAAATCATCGTCCTCATTGTCATCCCTGAATTCACTTTATCTCATTGATATTGCGTATTATAAATAATTCGGCGTGAATTTTACTTCTACTTCTGTATGAATTGCTGTGTCACTGCCTAAACGGCTGGATGTTTTTGGATAAAAAAGATAACTAACCGATTATTATAGCTTTTGTTAAGTAAAAGGCCAATTTTATTGAATCCACTAGCTGTGCCAATGACTTCGCCCGCGTAGAATGGTAATTTTGATTTTTGCTAAATTCATACATTATATATACAGCTGTGTCAGCGACTTCGTTAGTTAAAATCTTTATAAAACAGAGCTGCTACCCACGACGTCGGTGGCGTCCCGTCGTTTTTTCAAGTTAATCTCAATAAAAAGACATACAGTCGCGAACATTTTTAGATCATCGGAAAATCACTTGGGAATCATTCCTTCATCAAAAATCACTTGTGTATTTTTTTTATTTTAGCTCATACGCAAAAGATATATAACGATTATTTACATAATATAATGTATGCAAACAACTTACTTGACACTAAAAGCCAATGCATTTTTCGGTTGGGTCATTAATTTAGGCTAACAGTAAATTATGCTAATTCCCCGACTGTCCTTTGCATTTCTATTTATTCAAGATCCAATGAATCACTGTGTGCACAGTCTAAATACAAACAGTAAAGAAAAAATTATTAATAATTAATTTATCTAATTTTGCAAAAAGTAAATGAAACAATGTGTATTCATCGTGTTATTGTTTATCTCTGATTTCTTATTTCATGGTTGGTTACACCGTACACAACAAATGAGAAATATTTAACGGTTTAAAACTCGATATATAATGTAATGATGATAAACAAGTTATTATGACTGAATTAAACCGATTACATTAAGTAGCCACTTTTCCATCTTACATGAAACCGTAACTGTATAAAAAAAGGTTTTTAACTAAAATAATTATTTTTACTTTCTTTTGAACTCTTTAACTTTTTCATTAGAAATAGTAAATTTACTGCTACAACGAAAATAAATGTGGCTTTAATAAAACATTTCTTACTGTTTGTTACTCAACTGTGTCGGTGTATTGCCCGGCCCGATGACCGTCGTACATACGTATTGTTTGTGTTTGTTTATTTCGCTTGGCGTCTCGCCAGATGACCAGCTGGATTTATTTTCAAAACGATGTGTGTCCGTCTTCATCTTTCCGAATGACAGAACTTTTTATAGACGAGAATAAAACGAGAAATAACTGCTTCATCATATCCGGTAAGTCTATTAAAGAATATGTTTATAGTAATTAGAGCAAGCAAAAGTATAGGGCGTAGTAAGTCCAAATAAATATACACATAATGATATACTATCTGTATATTGCAAAATAAGGTAATACACAAACAATACCA